GGGCGGTGTCCATGACTGCAAAGAGCCATAAGGAGGGGGACAAGGTGCCACCGGCGCAGCCCTCCCTGGGGACAGGGTGCCACCGGCGCAGCCCTCCCTGGGGGCAGGGTGCCACCGGCGCAGCCCTCCCTGGGGATGAGCTGCGCCCAGGCCGCCTTCGCAGCAGCCTTGGCGAAGCCGCCAGCAGGAGGAAAGGGCCCGGCGAGTCGCTTTGTGCCATGTATTAGTTTAGCCATTAACCTCATATTTAGCGAGGCTTTAGGGGGAGACTTGGAGAGGAGTCTCCCGTTATCTCTGAGCATCTAATCAATGGGAATCCTTGGCCCCCAAATCAGTGGGCCAATATTGCAAATCCTGGTAGGTTAAATGCGATTCCCCCCTCCCGGAAGGATCACCCTGCCACAGCTCCTGGGCACCACTTGGGTGTCTTTTCAGAATGATTTCCACCCTTGCCAGGCACAGCTTTCCGCTCTGGGAAAAACCAAACTGCAGCTTCCCCCAGGGCAGGACTTGCTTTCGAGCCCCCAGCCCCGCAGCCTTTCTGCTGAGCCATGGACAGCGTTGCCCCCTGAACCGGTTGCCTGGTACATGCTTTCCCTTGGAGTCTGGGAGTGCTGAGATCTGTTTGCTTTCAGCTCAGGCCCTGGTCCCTCAGCCGTGGCCAAATACCCGGTGGGGACACCTGTGCTCTCCCTAGCTCCTGTGCTGTGCCCATCACCGAGGTGTCTGGGCTACAGGGCAGCACCCAGGCAGCACCAGCAGCATGTCTTTCAGCAGGCTCTATTCCTTTCCGGGGGAAGAAGAAACCCTTCTGGGCTGGTGGCTCCCTGGAGCCCGACGGCTGACACCCAGCGCTGCCCGAGCCCTGCGCCGGCCGCCTCGGGGACCGGAGGGTCCCGGCTCTCCCCACCCGCTGCGAGGGACAGAAAGGCGCGGGGGAACTTACCATTGCCCATAGCCAGCACCTGCATGTTCTCAAACTCCAGAGTGGTATAAGCCGGGTCTAGTGCTGCGCTATAATCTGCCATCTCCATGTCTATCAGGGCTTTGGAAAGGCGCATTATCATCAACAAACACGGGCCAGATTGCACTGATTCCCTTGTCCGAGGCTATTGGCCCTTCTGCCTCCCGCTGCCTTCACTGCGTCCCCTATCTGTTGTCTTTTATTTCAAATATTTCTCTGAAAGGATTTGCTGAGCCTCAAGGCCTATACTCCCCAGAGGGGTGGAGGCAGGAGGCAGGGGGTTAATCTTTAATCATCTCACCCACTGCAGAAAGAAGCTGCCTTTTTTTTTTTTTTTTGGTGGAGCAGCAGTGATTCTTGTTGACTGTTTATTATTGCATGTAGAGGCGCTTGGCTGAGTCCAGCTCCCAGGCACATGCAGGGCTGCAGGAGAAGCGCCCTTGCAGCCCGGGAAACACCTTCCCGGGGCTATTGACCTTGATGCTGAGCTCTTGTTGTTGGTCTTAATTGTACCCGGAGTGGAAAACTCGGAAAAAACCTTGCCTGGAGAACAACGTTGCTCTTCACGTCTGTCATCCCTTCCCCTCTCCACCTCGTGTTCCCTTCACCCCCCGATCTGCCTTTCTTTCTCTGCCTCTCTCCCACACCTTTTCCTTTTCTCTCCCTTCCTTTTCGGAGAAGGTCAGAGCCGGCGTTGCAATTTACACGTTGCTATGCAAAGTAACAACGCAGGACTCATTTTACTTCCCCATAAACTGCGTTTTACAGGGGCTGACTGCCCCATAAACAGATCCCACTCGGGCTGCCTCGCAGGGTGGCACGGCCGGTGCCCACCGGGGCAGCGCCTGTCCGGGTGCTCAAGCCGCCACGAGTCAGACACACCCTGGCCAGGTTTTTTGGCTGACATGTCTTAAAATTTTCATTGGGCGTTTTACAACGCAGCAGAAGTTTATTCTGCAGCGTGATTTTTCCTTTACACATTCAGCCAGCCACTGCTCTCCCCCCAGGTACACGCTGACCTGCAGCCCCCCGGCATGGCCAGGGTCTGTCTGCCACCTGGCCGAGACCTCGGACCAGGCCCTCCAGTAATTCAAACGTGAGCACCCGGCAGAACCATGCCTTCTCCTTTCTCGCTAACCTGCGTGCTTTCTGGGCTCCCAGTTTGCCCTGGGCACTTCAGTTCTCTGCATTAGAAAGGACTGAGAAGTTTTAGTACAGTTTCCATCACATGAAAACGCAAGATCAACAAGGTGGGAATGTAAGTGATCACTGAGCACCGTCCCAGAATCACAGAAGTCAGCTGGCTTGCACAGAAGAACACGTAATTAATGCGTTAGTATCAGCTCGCTCCGCATTGAAAACATCCCCATTATTTCGCAATCAGCACCGGGTGACTGAGTCTACGCAATTAAATCCAACATGGATTTAATTGAGTTTCACAGGCAAACCTACCAGCCATCCAAGGCCCTGCTGCCTCTCTGAGCTGTCCTACCCACGGAGACTTCCCCGTCACAGCGTGACACCGAGGTCCCTGGCTCCACAGCGGTACGTGCCTCTGGGCAGTGACACTAGACACAGCGAGACTTTGCTATTCATATTTCAGGAGCGCAAGGGCTGTTCAAACAGCCTTAGCTCCCAAAAGCTATGTGTGGTCTACGTGGCACTTCCAAGTAACTCTTTTTGGCCCCCAGGATGGGACCGTAAGGCTACAGATCTCCAGGAACTGAGCTGAGAAGATGGGAAAGCCCTGGGTTTCTGACTTGAGATTGGTGATAAGTTTTCCTTTGCTGCAGGGGGAGCAGTCATCTGCTCTGCACTCAGGAAGGACAGACCAGACTTCACGTGCCCGGTTGTTCTTCCCTTCAGCTTGAACAGCCCTGAGCCCAAAACTGTTTGAATGGTGCGTGCCCCAGGGTGGGGATGGCAAGGTAGAGCAGAGCCCCGCAGTGGCCTCGTTCCAGGGACCTCCGTCCCAATCCCGGTTGGGCCACAGTGATCCCTTTGATTAGATAAATGCTACAGACACTAGGTCAAATATGTGCAGGATTTGCCACAGTGTCTAGTAAAATATCATAAAAGCATGGCCCGTTTTGCTCTGTTCAGCAAAACAAACCTTTTGCTTAAATAGCCTGCTGACCAAATAAGACTGCAAAGGCCATTTGCTCCTAGGGTAGGAAGGATTAACCATGCTAGGAATAGAAAATGGAGAGGTAGTGTCTATGAGCGAGAGAGAGATAAGGTGTGGGGAAGTTTGGAGAGAATTAGGTGGCTCAAGGAGCTGGGAATTGTCAATGGGACATGGAGCCTTCCGCCCGCAAGCTAATGTTGACTGTCGTTTTCTCACTACCGGTGTCCTCTGCCTATCGCTGGTGCCCCCATCACAAAACTCTTGTCTCAGCATAGAGGTCGAAGACCAAAAGGGCCAAGGACACCGTGCACTTCCTTTGCCCCTGGAGATGGGCTCACCGACACAGGGATGAGATGCCCTGGGTGGAAATCCATTGGCTGCACCCTGGGATTGGGTTTGCTGCAGGCACTGAGCTCCCAGAGAAGTCCCTAAGGAGTCCTTGCCCCTGCGTGATGGCCCTGTCTGGTGGCTTTCTGGGACGGCTCCCAAGTGTAGTCATGGCCTATATTAGCTAACAGGGCCCCGTGGGCCTACAGCTTTTTAAGCTGTAGATGTTCATGCCAGCAGCCTGTATTGATGGACGTGAGCACAGCTGGAGGAGTGGCCCAGGGCTGGCATGTCACAGCAGCCGTAGGAAGGAAAGGGCACTTTGGAGGGGTTTCTGCTATGTAACATGGGCACAGAGGGACCCCATGCTCTGTCCTGAAGGAGAGCCCTGGTAAAGGAAAGGCTGTTTCCAGACCAGGTGCTCGAGGAACTTCAGCTTGTCAGACCCTTTCTTCTCACCTCCTTTCCCATTTTTCCATGTTGTCTACCCACCATTTCATGCACCCGGAGGTGGCTGTAAAGGAAACCATTACAGTTCCAGGAAATGAAATATTCTGCTCTGAGTGATCATTTGATTTTTATCTGTTGAGCAGTAAATCCTTCTGCCTCTTTCCACACAAGCACATCATGACACTAATTCTGTCCCATCAATAGATCTTTCTGACTAGCAAATTCATCCAAAGCAAAAGGGGATTCCCAGAATATAAGATCTATACTTCTTAGTAAATATGTAACAGGAATAGAGTATTTAACAAAGCACTTATGGTAAGGTAAGTCAGCTACTGTCAGCTAGCACTTGCTAGCTCTTCAAGTCAAGTGGATGAGCAAGGCTTCTTTCACAGGGATCTACCTGCCTTTCTTGAATAGTATATCCTAGAATCATAGGGTAATTCAGATTGGAAGTCCAACCTCCAGCTCACAGCAGGGTCAGCTATGAGAACAAACCAGGATGCTGAAGGCTTTATCCAGGCTGGTCTTGAAAACCTCTAAGGCTGGAGACTGCTCAGCCTCTCTAGGCCACCTTGGCTGTCCTCATGGTGATTAATTTTCTCCTTATTCCTGTTTAAACCCTTGTTTCAGCTTATGCCCGTTGTCTCCCGCCGTGCACCACTGGAAGGAGCTTGTCTCTGTCTTCTTGATACCCAACTTGTAGGTCCCAGCTGGCTGCAACAAGGTCCCCCCCAAGCTGTCACCTCTCCAGGCTGAACAAGCCCAGCTCCCTCAGCCCCCTGGGCATCTCGGTGACTGGGCTGGACTCACTCCACTTTATAGATGTCTTTGCTAGACTGGGGGGAAACGAGGGGTAAAACTGGATCCAGTAGCTAGATGGGGTCTAACAAGCGCCAAGCAGAGGGGGAAAATCACTGACCCCAGTTTACAGGCTGTGCTGCTGCCCAGGAGGAGCAGGGCTCTGCCTACAGGGCCCAGCATGCTGCTACCTTTGTGGCCAGGGTGTGCCGTTGGTGTGTGCTTGGCTGTGTCCGCCAGGACCCTCGGGCCTTTTCTGGGGGGGGGGGAGGGGTCTTCCTCCCCAGGACAGGTTTTGTTTTCACTCTAGGTGACTGTCATGGTCCCTGTTGGCCCGTTCCTCCAGCCAGCCTCGGTCCCTTGGGATGGCAGCGCTGCCCTTGTACGCATCGACTGGGACCCCCGTTGGGTGTCACCCACAGACTTTCTGAGCACGGATGCTGGCCAGGCTGCAGCCGAGCGCCTGTGACCCTCCTGGCCTTCGGTTTCCCTGTAGAGCCCTGCACTCTGTTCTGCCCAGCAGAAACAGCAGTGCCCAGAGCCAGGAGGACTGAGCTCTTCTTACAGACACAGTTAGCGATACCGTTGGTACCACGCACAGCCATAACTCCCGCCGGGGACGTAAAGATCACTTGTAACACGTCGCTCAGCAGCTTCAAGCCCCGCTGCACAGCTGAAGTGCCTTTGCCTTGGCAGGCGAATAAAGCAGAGATGGGCTCTGGGTCTGAAACCTCTCCGGCCTTGGAAAGTCCTGAATAACATCTCGGCTTCCCAGCCCACTTTCCCCTGGGTGCCTGCTCGGGGATTGCACCAGCAAACCCCTCTCTCTCCTCACCATGTCACCAGGCGAGCTGATGGGGAAGCGCGAAGCTGAGTTACAAGACAAAGAACAAAACTCCCAGGGGAACCTCGCCAGCATAGTCATCTCCACACATGCAAAGGTCCCTTCTGCTTTTTTTTTTTTTCCCCTTTGAAATTTCAAATTCCAGTTTGTGGACAAAGTCCTGCCTATCTGAGAATATAGATCTCCGACCACTGACCAAACTCCATTCCAAGCAAATCCCGAGGTCTGCTTTTCCCCTTGCCCACGGGTCCCTCCACTCAGTCCCCGGATCTGCTGGGATCACACTGAAACTTTTGCACCAGAACAGAGCTCTCATGCTTGCGCAAAGTGGATTTGCACTCTTCAGTTTAACAGCTTCCTTTCTAACCGTGGAATGGGGAAGGATCATCTGTAATAACCAGGTAGGATCCTTATCGCCTGTAATTCATCTGGGCAGCCATTACAGAGAGAAAATGAGAAGGAGAAACAAGGGCTTCCATTGTGCTTATATAGCAATTTTAGGTCACCATTTAAATTAGGGATGGGGGAAAAAAAAGGCAGCTTCAGAGGGGATGGAAAACAAGGGGGAACATTAGCTCTTGGAGGCAGAGCCACTCCAAATAGTTAACTGATAACTCCAATTTGTCTCTTCCCTCTCATCTTTTCT